GACAACGATTATTTGCGCTAACCATGTGCTTACCAGCGTGCTTGTTAGCTCAAATTGCCAGAACCCCGTTTAATTACACGATCACAGCTCGCACGCTTCTTGCAAACTGTGATGACTCTTAATTTCAGAGACTAGTTCTTCAGTTTCCAGCTTTGGGGAAAATTATCTTATCGTAAGCACGTTCATCATAACCCGAGCACTAAGTACGCCTCGAGATGTTGAGCGAAGAGAAAGTGACTCCATGTTTTGAGAGACAAACCATGTCCTGAAGTTCGATCAAATCGAGTAGAAAGTATGAAAACATAGCGCTGAAAAGTACCAAACCAAACAATGAAATTCACTCTTTCCGCAATAGGGCTAACTTCATTTTACTCGTAAGATTATTTGCACCCGTAATTTAATTCTCAGATGTTTGACGGGTTCTCACATGACAGTATTGTCAAAATCAAATTACCGCGTCAGACTTAATGTAAACATTAACATCGCTGACTCAATCTCATTTTATTCCAATTTCGAGAAAGGCCATTACATCGTTCTTAGGGTAAAACAACACATCTTCGACAAAGCGCGATTTTTTTAATGATTAATGTAAATCCTACGATAGTTAAGTGAAGAGAGAATGATAGAAACTTAATTGCTCACGCCGTTCGCTATCTTTTGAGAACTTTCTAAGCAAAATATAATCCGTGAGATAGCTTCTCTTCCCTTAATACCACGACTAAATTAAAGATTCCAAACGATAGGACAAGAAATATCTTAAAGAATACGAACACTTTGAAATATTATTCGAGCGATGAACCAGCGCGAGAATTTTAAGGCTATGAATGCCGAAGTCATTGTTTTACCGAAACGTGATTTGAAATATAAACTAAAGATATTATCAAACGACGATTGGTGAAAGAAGGTTTGGATTTTTCTGGGCCTCAGCGTAAGAGAAAAAACCCAGATAGGACACGACTTACCTCCACTTCTTTCACGGATCCTTTAGCTTTGTAGTTCGCTTCTCTTTGTTGATGACATCTTTACAGTGTGTCAGTTTCTGGAGCTCTTTGTATTTCCTTCTCACTGCTCTTCGCGAGACTCTAGACTCTCTTCGCCTTTTCACTTATGCCTTCTCTTGTTCTCTTTCGCGTTCCTCTTGCCGCATTGTGCCTATTTTAACGTCCTTTCTAATATCTTACACGATTTTCTCGACTCGCTTTACACCTTTTACCTCTTCTTTTCTTTGGTCGCTCTGTATCTTTAATTTCTTTCCAGCCTCAGTTTAAAACCGTGCAATTTCAGAATTTTTTAAATTTTTACTCAAGAAGCAGGAATTGCTGTTGACTGTGCCTCGATCGGCTCCTACGCTTCTCTCGTGCCCCGCAAACTTCCCGCGTGGTGCATCCATTTTCAACTCATTGATGCAATTTAGGACTTATGCCAAAAGTATTTTCGAAGTTTCACGCTAAACACCCCTCTTAAAAAAAATTGAGAAGACCGGAATCGCTATTCTGTCTCACTGAGGTAAGTGATATCAGACATAACTAAATAGTGAAAAAAATCTCATGATTTAAGACAATACTCACATACATACCTCAACACACCATAAAGAAAACCAAAGATAGAACTTGTATTCAGTTGTAAGGTAGGCAAAATATGGATAGAATAGTATTGTACAAAGGAGGACAGCCCACAAAACGTCAATAACTGAGTTAAAGGAAAGAAAGAAATTGCTCGAAGTTTTAAACTATGATTCTTGGTTCTTAAATGCTTCCTCAAGTACCATTCATGTTTTGTTAGCTTGTTTGAATGTTGGTTTTTTTGTTTAAGAGGCCTAGTTTTGCCTCTATATAATGATTTAGTTTTGAATTTTGGAATGGTATCACATGTTTAAATGATAAAGTTAACAATATTCTCATGCGCCTGTTGTGATTATAGTGCTGTAGGTTGGAGACCTCAATGGTTTTGCCCGTTATTACAAAGCAATTAACCAGAACCTGGACTAGACATGCATTGTACATTATGGACATGACAGAGAGATTTCTGTACTGTATTTTTTATCTTCAAAGCCTTTCTCAGGTAAAGCTCTGTAATGATCCTTACTACCAACACAGCTAAGAAATTCGATCATAATAGCGTTAGAGTTACCTACTTTTTACCCAGGGAGATTCAAATGGGACAATCGAGATATTGGCTTTTCCACCCAGTGCTATGGTTATAACAGTGCTACCTGTGGCTCCGGATCCAAACTGAAACGTCACAGCAATAGTCCACCTGTTACTGAGACCACCAAGAAAATTCATCGGCCTAAAGAGGAATGATACAGATATGGAAAATTGCGCTACTGCTTGATCAAAAGCCACACAACCGACAACTTGTTGATAAATTTCGCTACCCTTTTCTTTTCTTAAACCATGGTTGGTGTTACACTAGCCTGCAGATGGTTCTTACAGTAGTGGAAGGCTGGGGAGAGAAAGGAATTTCAACCAAGAGAGGTGAGCGATGATCAAAAGGAAGGAGAGGGGAGGGGAGGGAGGGGAAGGGAAAGGAACGCTTTTACATATGATAAACAAGCTTTTGAGACACTCTTTCAGCTTTGAACCTTTGGCTTTTGAATTTTGGGGATGAATTATACATAAATTGTGACGTCCATCTAGATTTGAATTATTCTGCAACGTGAAGACTTTTCATAATATACGGGATCAACTGCAATGCAAAGCAACGATTTGCCTCGGTGAAGCAAATCATTAGGACAGAGGCGTTTATCTGGGCGCGTGCGCATGCGTGCGGGTGTTTATGCGCGCGCATTCGCGCGTGTATACGGGGACCAAATCGTTCACATTCTAGATTTTCCATCAAATAATTATAAAAATATCTATTTTTTTTAAACGGAAAACCTACATCAGTATCCAGGGCGCCCATCCCAGAGCTCCAACTTAAGCTCAGTGCGTCGCTTCAGGAATGAAACAACTTAAATAATAACCAACTGAAAAGAAAAACATAAGGAAGCACCAGATGATTCTTTGAAATGAATCTCATCTCATGGATTACACAAACAATACCGAATGAGAAGAAAAATTGATTCCCAGTGCCTATTGTACAAACCCGTATCGCACACAGGCTAGCGACCTTTTATAACCAATTTTACCATTATCATTTTTTAAACAAACATAATTCAGAACACTTATGATAAAATCATTTACAGGGCCACCGAAAAGCGAGACCTCCTTTTCTTCTCTATTCGAACTTTAGCAAATTGTGGCTCCTTTCCAAGTCCATATCCACACGGTAAAGAGTGAAGAAAAAAGAAATCCTCTTTATGTCGTTACCGTTAAGGCCGTCGTCATAATTATCATCATCATCATTATTATTATTATCATAATCTTCACCTCTTCACCAATCGTCATTATTGTTATCGTTGTCATCATTTCAGTAATCATTACGCAAAAAATATGAAACTTTTAACAGAGTACTCACTGCAGGAGCAAGACATCCAAAATCAAACTGTCTTTCCTTGTGTTGAGCCTTGTCACAGCTACAAAAAAAGAATAAATAATTTAGTAGCTCATGCATCCATAACTCTCAGTACGTATATGTATCATCTCATAAATGTAGTAAAGAAAGTTCTATCGAGTATGTTGCAAGTGGGGCATAATGCGAGGACAGTATCTTAGCTAGAACACTGAAAACACTAACGAGAGCCTTATAAAAGATCTGTTGTTAGAGTCAGGCCGAAGTGGCTTTGCTATGTAAATGTTCACCTTCTATATATATCCAGAACTGAATAATCAAACGGTTATTGACTGATCTCTTTTAAGAAGTGGCAATGAACCGATGAATGGTAATGGTAATTAAAAGCGAGTGGAGCCTAATTTGGTCTGTAATCAAACAACCTTGAATCGGTTGTGCGATTTTTTGATCAATGATGTAAGATTTCTGACAGAAATGGATGAAAAAAGTCCTATTTCACTTTCCATTTATAAGCATGGCGCATATGGAAAAAAAGTCTCTAGCCGACTTGAGGGGCTTTGTTTTGAGACACTTTCCGCCATGTCAGTTCACGTGCGGTATCAATTATTCGAAACTTCCTCAACGAGATGTAGATATTCGATAAACGAAACAAATTAACAACTTGTTTTAACTTTTTCTATCACTCACTCATTCTCACTTGTCGCATCTGAAGCCATTATGACTGCTCCTCTGAATCAGTAGGTTTCTGCTTCACTGAATAAAACTTGTTTTAAAAAAAAAAGTGAAAATTGGACAGTCTCACTCCCAGTCTCCTCTCTCTTTTCTTTTTCGTTACGGCTGTCTGCTGTTTTCAGGAGTTCTTTCAGATTCCACAGAAATGTTTTTAGGAAGGGGCAGGAAAGTCAAAGTTTTTCTGAATACCCACTGGACTGCATTCATTTGAGAGTATAATTGTTCCAAATCTTTTACCCAGATCATATTGTTTAACTGTAACTGAAATGCTGTGGAAGATCTGGGTACGGGACCATATTGATGCTCAAGTCCGTCTTCGAGGCCGGAGAGGGTGGGAAGCTGTGTGACGTTTCAAAGAATTGGTGCGAGCTGGGGATACTGCTTATCCGTAGAGCAAAAATCTTGCATCCATCTTAAGTTACCATCTATATATTTGCTTTTTCCTTTTTTTCTTTTTCTTAAACAGATTTATTTATTAAGGAGTCGACGCCCCCTGCATCAATAAAAGCCGGATCCTAGACAAATTTTTTTTCTGCCTGTTATGGGGTATTTGATTACTAGTCCGTTTTTCAGACCAAATTCCGATGAGTTTTCTAGTTCATACCGACACTGAGTCCGCAGTCAGAAGTCCAGAATCCACGTCTAATTTTTCTTCCTTCCGGCTTAGCGAAGAACACTTCGTGCACTGCCGGAAGAATTCCGCTTAATCGGGATATTTTCGACACCGAAAGCTTGTTTGAACGCGACTGTCCGTCAAATGACCAGAGAAAACTGTTTCTCGTTAAGAACCGCACTCACGAACCGTGCCGGAGAAGGTCTCCTCTATGATAATAGTATATACCTGTGAATTAGTCTCATTTAATGCCAGTAATGGCTATTTGGAGAGATAAATTAATGAAATTTCTCATTTTTACTTCCTACACGGGGTAAACAGTCGTACGAGGATGATGAAAACTCTGGGAGTTACAGTGTGGTTGGTTCATTTCCCAAAGATTTCGGGTAAGTTCTCAGTCTGCATCGATTGTAATTTAAGTCACGGTGAACGATAGAAAATGCAAGTCGTCTTTTTTTTTTAACACAGCAAAGAGGTACCATAGTTGCAAGTTCGTTTCGGCGGTTGTTATATTTTAACGTTCAATATACTTGAAAATATGAAGTTTAAGCGTACATCAGTTCCCTGTCGAGCCCAGCCGGTGTACAACTGTACACAAATCCTCGCTGTTTTCTCGACGTTTTCGAACGTTGATTCTTCGCTGAGAAAATTGCAAAGACCATTTGTTTTTTTGAACTGTTGGACAATTCCAGTAAAATTACTCAGGGTTCAATGGCTCATTACGCGACGATTTTTGCAACATCAGTAATCATATGCATTTGTTATCACATGAAATTAATGGCAAGTACACGTGTATCAGTTCTGGAATTGTAGTGAATGATAAAGACCAAATTTAAATACACTCATTTGATAACATGCGTGCACATAACTTCACGTTATGTACTAAATACTTGCAATTCCCATGCATTACACTTGCTTGTGTGTGAGCAGTACTGTAGTTTCTATTCCTTTGTTAGTGCCATTAACCAATTGTATACTGTTGCACAAGCAATATTGTCAATGTGACTTATTCTATGTATGTCAAACTTTGACTTTTTGTTTCATCATTTGTTTATAAAGATTTCCCTATTCACTGGTCTTCTGTTTGCAAGAATTGGCACTATCCCTCACATAGACAATGGCCTTGATCAAGAACTTCCACTGCCTAAGGTAATGTCACAAAACTTGAGAGTTAAATGGTTAAAAAGGTACAGTGTATGTTTCTTTTCCCACATAGGATTCTTACCTCTTGAACTGGTTCAGTGACATGAAAGAATATCTACATGTTGGTCCACCTGTGTATTTTGTGGTTAATGGAGGCTATGATTATGAACATCCCTCTGGACAAAACAAGATTTGTGGTTTGGCTGAGGCTGTGATTCCTCTTCTTTAGTAAAACAAATCTACAGTACTTCACTGATCCCTGAAGAGTTAGTTCCTTAAAATTTCTCACAGTCCATAGTAGTGTTGATTGCTATTAGAATGCAGTTGATATGGGGAACAGTAGAGTTAGTTCTTTTGCAACCATGTGTAGTGTATATACATGTGTAGATGTACATTTTCAACCATTATACTGAAAGTTACAGACCTAAATTATTGTTACTGCATGCAGTTGAGATTATTGTCATTGTCCAGGACACAATCAGTCTTCAGCTGAGTTCCACAGTATGTTCATAAAGGAATCAGTTGCAATTCATATTATTATTATTTCATTATTATTATTATTATTCTTCTTTAACCAGATCCAAGATAGCTATGTCAGCATCTTCTTGGTTAGATGACTATTTCAGCTGGATTGAATCTAACAGGGAGAACTCATGTCCTATCAAGTACAAAAGGAAATGAGACATGTATCCGTACAACAGTGATGCCACCTAACTCAACTAACACAACAACTCCAGCACCTGCCGTCATCTGCTATAATGAGACAACACCTGTAGTGCCTCATGTCTTCTGTAATACAACAGGTGAGTGCTTGCTTTCCTGCAGACATCAAAGGTTAGGTTGGTTTATATGTAAGTGATGTGGCCTGTAAGTCTGAAGTAAATTTATCCCACTCTCCACTCTCCACTCTCCACTCTCCACTCTCCACTCTCCACTCTCCAGTTCTCAGGAAAAACACTTTTACCTCTGACAGTGCCTCTCTCTCCACCCACAAGTTTTTCGGGAATGTCAACACCCCCTTCCCCCTCCCCCTCCCTCCTGCCATGTGAAATTTTAAAGTTAGTTTGTTCAAATTCCTGCCCAGCTGAGCCAAGTTTGTGTTCTAAAATGCCCAACCAAGTGCCAGATTTAATGGTCAATGTTTTGTGAGAGGCAAAATCAGCAACCAAGACTTCTTGCCTATTCAGCAAGTTTTAAGAACCCAGATGTTGTAAACCTTTTCTTCTGAGCCATTCACTCATGAAAGTGAAAAGAAAATGATTACCAACTAAATATTCCCTTGACTGATTAACAAATTCTCCTGGTCAGCACTATGGTTAATGTGTAGAAAGCAGTATGGAGAATATGCATAGTGATGTTAGGGTGTTAAGGGTTAAGAAAGAATATCTTGATTGTGAAACAAACTGTTGTTAACAAAACATTAGGAAATGTGTAGAGAACAGTATAGAGAATATGCAAACTGATGTTAGGGTGTAATGGGTGAACATAAACATTCAACACCAGTCTTTCTTAATCCTTTATACCCTAACATCAGTATGCATATTCTCCATACTGTTCTCCACACCTTTCTTAACTTGCTGACAAGGAGAATTTGTTTAACAATCAAGAGCTTCTTTAGTTGGTGATCATTTCCTTTATTCTTGTGATCTAAACGTGTGACTCAGGGGTGATATTTTATGGAGAAATTAGATGTGAGTCACTCTTAGGGGTTGAAGGGTTCATTTCATGTATGTGTTAAATTTCTTACTGTATTTCTGTTCCTGTTCTTTTTTTTTTTAGTTGATGACAATCTGTGCAAACCGTACCTGAATTTAAGCCAAAAGGGTCAGAGACCAACCCCAAAGCAGTTTGATAAGTTCCTGCCATTTATCTCAAGGACAACCCAGAGACAAAATGCACCAAAGGGTAAAGAATTCAAACTCGCTTTAAAATGATGTGAATGGCACCAAGGTTGCTTGCAGCAATTGAAGAAGAAATCTACTGTACATGTAGTATAATTTAGTATTGTCAACTGAGCTGACAAAGTAAATTGGCCATTGTAAAAAGTTTCAAAGCTGACATTCGAGCATCCAGTTGGTTCAACTGGTTAAATAGGCAAACTAGCTAAAACAGATAAACTTCACAAATTGCGGAATGTGTCCTAGTTGGTTGAAGAAGCGAAGAAACTCCAGGGGGGGTAGGGAAAGGGAAGAGGTGTCTTAGTTGGTTGAAGAAGTGAAGAAATTCCAGGGGGGGTTGGGAAAGGGAAGAGGCGTCTTAGTTGGTTGAAGAAGTGAAGAAATTCCAGGGGTAGGAAAAGGGAAGAAGTGCCTTTGTGTTCAAGATTCTAGTTATGTTAGTCTTCTTGGTCTGTACACTAGGGCACCACATGAGGAAAAGTTACTGGTGTTTCCTATTATGTTACTAATCTGTTGATTGAAAGAAAATGATATGAATTACATCTAGTTCTGTAGCTCCTGACCAAAATTTTGGTCATCTTGAAAAATCATCCCTTGCTCACACTTACCAGTAAGACTCCCCCCCTTAGAAAATGTGTTACCATAAAACAAAACATAATCCAGTGACTTTGGACTGTTAAATTGAAATTGTCATTGCACATGATATTTTGTCTTTTTATGTTATATTTTAAACCTATTGTAATAACGCAAAATTAATTTATGAATAAGGAAAAAAATGGCAAATTAATACTGATCCTAAAGTGAAGACGCTTTTGAAAGCTGTGTTTTGTGAGTGGTGTTTGTTGCATTTGATGAGGAAAATAAAGTTCATAGCCTTCTTCTTCTGTTGTTTCTGTTTCCACGAACTTGCTTAAAAACAGTCAAACGAAGGGAATGAAACAAATCTTTTGGCGCTGCTCACGTTTTTTTGTTTTGTTTTGTTTTGTTTTAGTTTTATTTCTTTGTCTCTTTTTTTTCTCTCTCCATTGGATTTAATGGTAAAAATTATGTTGTTGATCCCCTGTTTTTTTTTAAGGATCTTAACCCTTTAACTCCTAAGGTATCATCAATTTGGAGAATTTGGTATTGGATCAACTAATAATCTCCTATTTGACATTTAACGGTATTCTCGTCACTTCTATGGATGATATTGTATTGATATTGTGAGGAGAAATTCTCTCTTGGTCACTCATGGGAGTTCGTTTGCTTCACTGCAAGGAGCGTGAAGGATGGGAGGGTCGGTGAAAGAGGTTAAGTTGGTCAGCGGTGATAGAGTACGTATTCAAACCACGACTGTCGACGGGCATGCGCGAGAGGACCAGTTCTTGTCGACCGTGTGCCAATTTCCCGTGCGTTGAGAATTCGCTTCTTCTCCAGCTCGGCGAGATACACTGTGTAACAGACCATTGAGTGACATCTCACACCCTGTTTAAGACTCAATCTCCGGAAAACACAGCTTATTGGCTAAACACACATGCTGCAGTGCTTTCCGATGTATTCATAGCCATTGCACGTAATAAGCTTTCACCTCAAATACATGTCAAATCGTATCGTCAAAATTTCGAGGCGAAATGTCGTGCTCACAGCCATTTTTTCATTTTTTCCTCAAATTTGCAAGGCTCACGCCGCATGCAAACATTTGAGGCTGTATGCGGTAATTGAGAGCAAAATCATACGACACCCAAGTAGGCTTTAAGAACAAAGGAAATGTCAAAATGAACTTAACATATTTTATCGACATGTAACAAAACAACCTTCTGTTTGTAACCTCTTCGCACTCAAGTTCTCATCTGAAAAATGTAATTGATCAGATGACAAATCGATGTAAACTGTCCGAAAGTGGGTGGATTAAGTCGAACACGCCGACTACGTCTGAGAAAACGAGGGAAAAACTTAGTCTAGCCATAACAGAGGGAAATCATTGCTTTCTGCTCCTAAATCGTTAAAATTCGTCTTGTGATGTAAACCATTGAGATTAGAAGCGGGACGAGAAAGTTGCCCACAATCTTGACATAGTTAGGAAGGGGGTGGGGTAACTGAAACTTTTTTACTCCCTCCCTTAGGTCATGTTGAAATGTTTTTGTAGAGGCGTACCGCTAAATAATTTACCAGGACCGAAGGAACCAATTTACAAATTAAGGGGGGTACACTGGTAGCATGTTGGGTCAGGAACACGTTTCAAATCCATTTGGGGCATGTTGGAGCGCTGATTGGAGAAAAAAAATTGTCACTTCCAAGAAACCTTGAGGCTTGATTATTTTTTTTTTCGTCTTCTTTTTTTGGTGGTTACTTCTATTGTTAAAGCCTCAGGTCAGGCATTTGTGTGCATCCTTTTTGCCAAAAAAGTGCGTAGCAGGATGGGGCACAAGTTCCTTCGGACCCCTATTCCTACGGAAATAATTTACGCTGTCGCTGTTTTAACTAGCAGGGTTTGGTCATACTGGTCATCCTCTCAAAGCTTCCTAACTTTTCGTGTCCGGTTAACGGTCTTTTAAAATCAAAGGACTTACACTCCGCGCCGCCTTGCGCGCTTGCCTACGGTCGACTGCAAAACGCTAAAAGATACGCCTCTTCTGCGGGCTAGATTTAAAATCGCCTTAAATCTAATTTTTATTCGCATCTCTGCATCAAGGTAGCTGGATTGCGCAGAGACAGCGTTCTCCTTACACCGGTCTGTTCCAAGTTTATCCTTAGTTCAATTATTTTTCTTCGTATTTTTTTCTCAGGTTTTTTTTTCACCCTTAGAAGCCAACACTCTAAGTTCGAATTGGAAGTGCCACCTTCTGAAAACTACTTAAATGCCAAATCTTGCATGTCACCTCGTTATAGGCCGGCCCACGAGTTTAACGAAAAGTTCAGTCTTCTGTCACAGACAGCTTACAGTTCAGGCATTAACCCTCTAACTCCCATGAGTGACCAAGACAGAATTTCTCCTTACAATATCAAGACAATATCAAGAAGATAAGTAAGGAGAATAAAGAAAAATATCAATCAGAGGATCATTGGTTGATCCAAACCCAGATTCTAACTAATATTATAAGAATTGAATGGGAGACAGAAAGGAGAACTACTTATGAGATCTTGGGAGTGAAAGGGTTAACGAATAAGACGTAAGCGCGCGCACTTTTCAAAGTGATCGGATATGACCCATGAAGGTTGGCAGAAATTTTCTTCATTTTGTTATTGACTTACCCCTCCCTTCCAACAAAATGTCAATTGATTTGCCTCATTTTTGACATTCAAATGCTTCTTTTTTGTACTTACGAAATAGGTAAACAACTAAATAGGAGAGACTAAATTCAGCTTTCTCGCACATTCTGAGCTTCTATAGATGCTTTGTAAGATACACAATTATGAAAATGGCCAGTAACAACAGAAGATTGAAACAAAACTCTTTTTAACCTCTCGTTTTACCATTGTGCGATTTAACAGCATATCTAAAATGCATCGTGATGCTTGAACAATAAGTACAATTTATAGCATTGAAACGTAAAAGAAAAATCTGTTGAAATACTGTTAAAAACAAAATTATATCCCGGCCATAAAGGTAAAAATCTGTCATTTAAAGTCCTGGAAAACAATGTTTCTGATACAGAGAAAAACTTTGATGAGCAATGACTAAGTAAAAATCCTCAAAAATGTTTATCACATTTTCCATTTGACATAGAGTAAGATAATCGAGCAGTTAGACTACTGATTATTCTCAAAGAATTATGAATATGTTTCTAATAGCTTTATATCACTCATCAGGAAAAAATCGATCGAGAGAAAAATCTGTACAAAAAATCTTTGGAAATCATCTTAAAGACGTCTCCACCTTGACGTTAATGTGACGCCCAAAATCTTGTCCATAGTTAACAGTTTCATCCATGTTAGACTAAAAAAATATAACTTGCATGAAATATAAATTACATGAAAATCAGTTTGAGTTAGATATCATGGATCAAAACACTTGAAAGTCCTTTTCCTTTAGAGTGTCAAAAATCCTTCAGTTCGTAAGAACAGTTCAGACTGGCGAAAAATCAAGTTTTGAAACAAGAGAGATCGTTAAGGACTCTCGTTAACTTTGGCCATCTTTTGATTCTCCCTGCTTTAAAGAGAAGACTCTTGACAAAGATTTCATCGGTAGCTTACTGGTTTCTGGTCCAAATATCACCGTTGACTTCTGCGGGCTTGGTCCTTGACCTGATACAGTTCCAATGCTCACTGCCTCAGCTGAAAAATAGGAGTTAAAATCAAGAAGGATCGTTGAGTTGCCATAGCATGTTTCCCTTGGCTATGCAAAATAAAATCTGTCTTCTTTTTAATTCATATCATGGTTCTCATCATAAATGTGTTGCAGCGATTACATTGCACCTCAATTTGCTCGAGCAACGAAAAATTCCTGATTCGATTGAAAGCAAAATAACATAAAACAACTATAATTTTGATTTAAGTCACTTAGTATTGAATAAATGTAATAAACAGAGTAATTACATGGTTTGAAGTCTGAATTTCCTTGAAATCCAGGCTGACGTCATCACCCAGGAGTACAAATGGTGCCCAGTACTGCACCTCTTTGAACATTTCACTCTCTCTCATGCACTTCATGGCTTGCTGAAGAGCTTCACTTGCCTTTATGCCTTTAGCAAGTGCATCGTAGAAGAAACTCATGAACTCCAGGGTTCCCTCGTCATCAATCGCCCATAAGGTTACCACCACAGATCTAGCACCGGCACCCAAAAATGCTCGCGCGATGCCGACCACACCTTCGGCCATAATCTTCCCACGAGCGCTGTGACAACAACTTAGTACAACCAGTCGAGCCCGCAGCCCAGCTTCTAGGACATCTTTCATAGTCATTAGATAGTCTTTCTCTTCTGGCTGAGAGTTTTTCCTTGTAGTGTTTGGTGCCAAGATGACTTCCCCAGTTTCTATTTTACCGTGCGCTGCAATGTGAACTAACGCCACTGATGACATTCGTTTTAACACTTCATCTTTTGTTGCCATTTCTCCAGTGAGAGGGGAATGATTAAGGATGCGTCCAATCATCTCCACTTCTTCCCTTGCTCCCGGAAGTTGCACCAAACGTTTACCCTGGTAAATGATATCTTTGAAACATGGGTCGCCAACGAGCAATGCACCACTTTTCATATGGAATTCAGCTGGGCAATCATGAATTAGTTGCAACGTCGTCAGAGACGGAAGCACACGAATACTGAAAGAATCACTCAGATATGATGAGTTCGAGTCCTCCAACGCTGCATAAGGTACAAGGCAAAATGGACCCTCAGGAACGAAAGTTAGCTCGTTGGCTTCGATCAGATCAGCAATAGGAGTAACGATGATGTCATGAAGCTTCTGTAGAGCCCTTGATTGTGAGCACCTCACATCAACTCGGATCACATCGTTGGCAACTTCCTCTTCTTTTGGCGAGTCAGGTGAGGGATTTTCGCATGTAACAGCATCTCTTCTGCCAATCTCCTTAAGGGCAGTTTTGTTCAGTTGCCGGATGAAAAATTCCAATTCATTCTCATATTTATAATTGTTCACATGCACCTTTCTCATCTGGATATTATCTTTACTGCGAAAAAACCAGAAGTAAACGCACGGTCCATTGAGAGCCATGAAAACGGTACTTGATGGAACGGTACTCAGGGAAAGGCACGATTCGCTGTTCGTTAAAGTATCTTCAGGCTGATATCTTGTGTGCATGAGATCTCTTAGAGCTTGAGCACGTCCTTTTTCTGCGGCAAAAAGAGCCTTTACAACTTTACCTTGATTGAGATTTATCCGCCACAGACCTTTATATGCAATTCGGTGCTGATTACGATAAGAAATTTTCCACTGATCATTGAGTTGAAGACTGGCCCTGATATCATCATACACCTCTACACTCGAGTTAAAGTAGGTGAAGGCCCTCATGGTATCTCCTTGGCACTCGAAACTTATTCCGAGAAAACCGAGTGAGTAGGCTTCTCCAGTCTTGTCCCCTACTTCTTTGGAAATTTCTAGGTGGCGTTGATACGACTCGATTGCCCTTTTAAACTTTTTTTGAGGGAGAAGACTGCTGCCAAGAAGGGAATAACTTATTCCCTCTCCGGCCTTGTCTCCCACCTCTTTAGCAATTTCTAGAGAACGGTTCTGGTACTCCATTGCTGTTTGGAACTGTTGTAGACTATTGTAAACGTTCCCAAGACTGCCATAACTTGCTCCCTCTCCCGCTTTGTCTCCCACTTCTTTAGCAATCTCTAGGTAACGTTGATGGTACTCGATTGCTGTTCGGAATTTTCTTAGACTATAATAAGCGTTGCCGAGATTGCCATAACTTCGTCCCTCTCCCACTTTGTCTCCCACTTCTTTAGCAATTTCTAGATGACGTTGATGGTACACGATCGCTGTTTCGAACTGTCCTAGACCATGATAAGCGTTGCCGAGATTGCCATAACTTCCTCCTTCTGCCGTTTTGTCTCTCACTTCTTTAGCAATTTCTAGACAATGTTGATAGTGCTCGATTGCTGGTTGGAACTGTCCTCGACAAAGATAAGCGTTGCCGAGATTGCCATAACTTCGTCCCTCTCCCGCTTTGTCTCCCACTTCTTCAACAATATCTAGATGAAGTTGATGGTACTCGATTGCTGTTTGGAACTGTCCTAGACCATGATAAGCGTTGCCAAGATTGCAATAACCTCGTCCCTCTCCCGCTTTGTCTCCCACTTTTTTAGCAATTTCTAGATGACGTTCATGGTACTTGATTGCTGTCTGTAACTGTCCTAGACCACGATAAGCGTTGCCGAGATTACCATAACTTCGTCCCTCTCCCGCTTTGTCTCCCACTTCTTTAGCAATATCTAGATGACGTTGATGGTACTCGATTGCTGTTTGGAACTGTCCTACACCATGATACGCGTTGCCGAGATTGCCATAACTTCCACCCTCCCCCACTTTGTCTCCCACTTCTTTAGCAATTTTTAGGTCGCGTTGATGGTAATCGATGGCTGTTTGGAACTGTCCTAGACAACGATAAGCGTTGCCGAGACTGCCATAACTTCGTCCCTCTTCCGCTTTGTCTCCCACTTCTTTAGCAATTTCTTGGCGACGTTGATGGCACTTGATTGCTGCTTGAAACTGTCCTAGACCATGATAAGCGTTGCCAAGATTGCCATAACCTCGTCCCTCTCCCACTTTGTCTCCCACTTCTTTAGCAATTTCTAGATGGCGTTGATGGTACTCGGTTGCTGTTTGGAACTGTCCTACACCATAACAAGCGTTCCCGAGATTGCAATGACTTCCTCCCTCTCCTGCTTTGTCTCCTATTTCTTTAGCAATTTCTAGACGACATTGATAGTACTCGATTGCTGTTTGGAACTGTCCTAGACCATTATAAGCGTTGCCGAGATTGCCATAACTTTCTCCCTTTTCCGCTGTGTGTCCCGCTTCTTTAATAATTTCTAGATGACGTTGATGGTACTCGATTGCTGTTTGGAACTGTCGTAGACCATGATAAGCGTTGCCGAGATTCCTATAACTCTGTCCTTCTCCTGCTTTGTCTCCTATTTGTTTAGCAATTTCTAGACGACATTGATAGTACTCGATTGCTGTTTGGAACTGTCCTAGACCACGATAAGCGTTGCCGAGATTGCCATAACCTCGTCCCTCTCCCGCTTTGTCTCTCACTTTTTTAGCAATTTCTAGATGACGTTGATGGTGCTCGATTGCTGTTTGGACTTGTCCTAGACCACTATAAGCGTTGCCGAGATTGCCATAACTTTGTCCCTCTCCCGCTTTGTCTCCCATGTCTTCAGAAATTTCTAGATGACGTTGATGGTAGTCGATTGCTGTTTGGAACTGTCCTAGACCATGATAAGCGTTGCCGAGATTGCAATAACCTCGTCCCTCTTCCGCTTTGTCTCCCACTACCTTAGCAATTTCTAGAAAACGTTGATGGTAATCGATTGCTGCTTGGAACTGTCCTATAGCATGATAAGCGTTGCCGAGATTGCCATAACTTGCTCCCTCTCCCACTTTGTCTCCCACTTCTTTAGCAATTTTTAGACAACGTTGATGGTACTCGATGGCTGTTTGGAACTGTCCTAGACCATAATAAGCGTTGCCGAGACTGGTATAACTTCGTCCTTCTTCTGTTTTGTGTCGCACTTCTTTAGCAATTTCTAGACGACGTTGATGGTACTCGATTGCTGTTTGGAACTGTCCTTGACCATCATAAGCGTTGCCGAGACTTCCATAACTTTGTCCTTCTCCCGCTTTGTCTCTCATTTCTTTAGCAATTTGTAGATGTCGGTGATGATACTCGATTGCTCTTTGGAACTGTCCTAGACCATCATAAGCGTTACCGAGATTGCCATATATTTTTCCCTCTTCCGTTTTGTCTCTCACCTTTTTAGCAATTTCTAGATGACGTTGATGGTTATCGATTGCTCTTTGGAAGTGTCCTAGACCATGATAAGCGTTGCCGAGATTGCCATAACTTCGACCCTCTTCCGCTTTGTCTCCCACTTCTTTAGCAATTTGTAGATGACGTTGATGGTATTCGATTGCTTTTTGGAACTGTACTAGGCGACGATAAGCGTTGCCGAGATTGCCATAACTTCGACCCTCTTCCGCTTTGTCTCCTACTTCTCTAGCAATTTCTAGACGACGTTGATGGTACTCGATTGCTGTTTGGAACTGTCCTATAGCATGATAAGCGTTGCCGAGATTGCCATAACCTCGTCCCTCTCCCGCTTTGCCTCCCACTTCTTTAGTAATTTCTAGACAACGTTGATGGTACTCGATTGCTGTTTGGAACTGTCCTAGTCTATAGTAAGCGTTACCGAGATTACCATAACTTGCTCCCTCTCCCACATTGTCTCCCACTTCTTTAGCAAGTTGTAGATGACGTTGATGGTACTCGATTGCTCCTCGGAGCTGTCCTAGTGACTGATAAGCATTGCCGAGATTGCCACAACTTTGCCCCTCTCCCGCTTTGTCTCCTACTTCTTTAGAAATCTGGAGATAACGTTGATGGTACTCGATTGCTATTTGGAACTGTTCTAGACCAGCATAAGAGTTGCCGAGATTGTCATAACTTCCTCCCTCTCCCGCCTTGTCTCCCACTTCTTTAGCAATTTCTAGACGACGCTGATGGTACTCGATTGCTGTTCGGAACTGTCCTAGACGATGATAAGCATTGCCAAGACTGCCATAAATTTGTTCCTCTCCCGCTTTGTCTCCCACTTCTTTAGCAATTTTTAGATGACGTTGATGGTACTCGATTGCTGTTTGGAACTGTCCTAGACCATCATACGCGTTGCCGAGATTGCCATAACTTCGACCCTCCCCCACTTTGTCTCCCACTTCTTTAGCAATTTTTAGATTGCGTTGATGGTAGTCGATTGCTGTTTGGAACTGTTGTAGACCAACATACGCGTTGCTGAGAATGCCATAACTTCGTGCCTCTCCCGCTTTGTCTCCCACTTCTTTAGTAAATTTTAGATGACGTTGATGATACTCGATTGCTGTTTGGAAGTGTCCTAGATCATGATAAGCGTTGCCAAGATTGCCATAACTTGCTCCCTCTCCCGCCTTGTCTCCCACTTCTTTAGCAATTTCTAGACAACGTTGATGGCACTCGATTGCCGTTTGGAACTGTCCTAGACGACGATAAGTGTTGCCGAGATTGCCATAACTTTGTCCCTCTATCGCTTTTTCTCCCACTTCTTTAGCAATTTCTAGACAACGTTGATGGTACTTGATTGCTTGGTGGAACTGTCGTAGATCATGATAAGCGTTGCCGAGATTGCCATAACTTCGTGCCTCTCCCGCTTGGTCTCCCACTGCTTTAGCAATTTCTAGACGACGTTGGTGGTACTCGTTTGCTGTTTGGAACTGTCGTAGACCATGATAAGCGTTGCCGAGATTGCCATAACTTTGTGCCTCTCCCGCTTGGTCTCCCACTGCTTTAGCAATTTCTAGACGACGTTGGTGGTACTCGTTTGCTGTTTGGAACTGTCTTAGACCATAATGAGCGTTGCCGAGATTGCCATAACTTCGTCCCTCTCCCGCTTTGTCTCCCACTTCTTTAGTAAATTTTAGATGACGTTGATGATACTCGATTGCTGTTTGGAAGTGTCCTAGATCATGATAAGCGTTGCCAAGATTGCCATAACTTGCTCCCTCTCCCGCCTTGTCTCCCACTTCTTTAGCAATTTCTAGACAACGTTGATGGTACTCGATTGCCGTTTGGAACTGTCCTAGACGACGATAAGCGTTGCCGAGATTGCCATAACTTTGTCCCTCTATCGCTTTTTCTCCCACTTCTTTAGCAATTTCTAGACAACGTTGATGGTACTTGATTGCTTGGTGGAACTGTCGTAGACCATGATAAGCGATGCCGAGATTGCCATAACTTCGTGCCTCTCCCGCTTGGTCTCCCACTGCTTTAGCAATTTCTAGACGACGCTGATGGTATTTGATTGCTTTTTTGAACTCTCCTAGACCATGCGAAATGGTGCCAAGATTGCAATAGCTGATTTTTATCACGCTTAGTCCATCATTAGATCTGTTCAGTAAATGAAGTAGACCTTTACCATTCTTGTCAACCTTGAAATTTGTCAAGGATACAGAAGTCATGATTCAAAGTGTGAAAATTGGAATGGAAATGTTTGTTTCAATAATAATTGAATATTAGGTAGGACCTTAGACATTGAACGTGGCTTTGTTATAGAGTTTTGCTACTTAAATAATACTCTTATTCATAAAGTGAGTATTAAGATAAACGTTAAAGAGCTTTGAAGGGTAATTATTTGTTTAATTTCTACCTTGGCCCCTTCTTTTAAGTCAGGTTTCATGAAAAAAAATCGAAAGAGCTCTTGGGAATAATGTTATATTCGCTTTTTATAACTTCTAAAAGCGTTATTTAAAAATTATACGTGGACGCGCGTAAATGTGGAATTTCTTTTCTAGTGTCCAACTCCATAGATCACGAGTGAGGTACCGATTTAAACACGGCAAGAGAAATTCTATATCTACGGGTAACCAGGTATTATTTTTTCTAGTTCGTAAGCACAACAGCCCTTTACTGAGGGAAAAGTCAACTTAATGAATGAAAAAAAAAACGGCACCTACAGTTTCTGAAGAAAAGTCATTAAGTGCTCTGACGACAAGGCTCAGGGTGAAAAATGCGTTGACTCGTTGCAAAAACAAACAATGGGCGTAATTTTTTAATTTACAAAATTCTCAGCTGTTGACTATTTCCTTACCGAAAGAAGAAATCTTTTTGAGCACCCGACCAAAACAGGCCTGTCGCAAGTCTTCCAGTACTCGATTGTCGCTCTCAACCGCGAGAACTTTCTTTTTTTTTCGTATTTTGTTTTCCCCCTTCTAGGAAATTATGAACGTCATTTTCTGTGCGCGATACAAATTTTTCAATGTTTTTGTAGCCGTAATCCGATAGCATCAACAAATGACCATGGATTAAGAATGGTGAAGCCTTGGAAACTCATTCATCAGCATGACTAAAAGGGGAAAGACGAGTGACGAGTCAGCAGTTGATTCGCGATATCAAACACACATGAAAAAATTGTTGTATGCTTTAACATGTGTTGGTATGGCTTTTCTTGGAGCTCAAAATTCTTGCATAACACCCCGCAGTTTATATGATAAAAAGAAACACTGCTTGCTTTATGTCTAGATGAATCTGATCGGAAGGTATTGATTTTCTTTGAAATACTTCTCGCATTGCATCTCTTATCTCGCTTGAAATTCTCGTCAAAGGATACGGTCAATCCCATATGCAACCAGCTCCTTGCTTCTTCATACAAGCCAAGTTCGACACAAGCTCTGGCTCCTGAAAAGAATGCAATGATTGGTGGAGTGAAATAATTGATGGCTGTTAAGGTATAAAAGTGTGCAGAATGTGGACTTAGTTTTGCATTTAGTTCGTCCTAGACCACTGAAAAAATGAAGGAAATTAGAACTTGTGGAAGAATTGAAAGTGGACAATAAGAGTTAGTGCAAAGCGGCTAACAATATTAGTTTAAATAATCGAAGGCTTATGGACCTTTTGGTGCGTTTTTACCCACAAAGTAGACATTGACACACCACATACAATTGACACTTGGGATGCAGTCAACTACCATAATTCATACAGTTTCCTTTTGACGAAATCACTTTTAAGAGTTTTGATGACTAGGGCTGAAAAACCCACCTTTCTTAATAGCTTTGATTAAAGTGGGTTCCAATTGAACAGCAACCGTTGCATCATCGATACACTGCAAGTAGTTCCCTATGGAATTCAGGAATTAAATTTAAGTAGTCATCAATGAAGTCATAAAATGCAAGTAATTTGTGTAGAACATCCGTTTATATGTTTTTCCTTGAAACCAGGCGACAAAAAATTGCAATTGCTCAAATGGTCGCCGCTGACCATTACCATTACCATTACCATTACCAGGTCTACTGGTAAGCTCTTATTGGACCATCCCAAGGGAAAGATGCTTACAACATTGCGAGCAAGATCATTCTAAGCAGCAGCTCCGAAAGTCTGGAATGAGCTACCTGTGGAGCTTTGTCAAGCAACATCACTTAACAGTTTTAAATCTCGACTTAAAACCTATCTTTTTAAGAAGTATTTTTTATAGTTTGTAACTTAGTTTATTTTATTCTCACGGTAATGTATTTTCGTTTTCTTTTAAACATATGATTGTAAAGCGCTATTGATCAGCACATGTAAATACGCGCTATATAAATTGGTAAATTATAAATTATAAACTGCAGGCCTCCTCTGAGGATCATTGCCTTCTAAGATTTTCAACCACAGGTCAAATAAAATTTTACTTCATTAAGATTGTCATCAGATTTCTTCAAAAATTTTTAAAATTTAAAATTTGCCTCGCTCCCAGCGTGCGGTCTCTTGACTATTCAGGTTGCAGCGCCCAGCTTGTATTAAGGATGCACGGTTTCCACTCCCGTCGAGGACTGTTTTTTTTTTCAAGCTCAGTCTGCCGTAATTGCTTAAATTGGAGTCCATCCGTTAGAATTATTTCTTTGCCTGGAGCAGACTGTGTATTGCTTTTTAGAGGGGATAAATTTCTGAAAAAGCTGTGGTGCTACAAATCCAGACTCTATCTGACTTAGGGCTAACGCTCGAAACGTTAGCTATTTAATTTCTTTACGGTGGCCAAATCAAATTATCAACTCATTTGAGAAAACCAAATGAACCTGCACGTCCTTTCTAAGATCGATTCAGGGGCTAAATCGTTGGGATCGGGATCCAAAGATTCCAACCCTAAAGATCGTGAAACGACCACGAATTAACTAATCTTTCTTTCCCCCACCTCTCTAAAAAGGGCAAACGCAGGATTTTTGAGAAGCCAAGGGAGCATGTGTCTTTGGTTAGTTATTCTGTGATATCAAAAATGATCAGTCTCTCACGATCATGACGAGCGTTTACAAGCACACGAGGACCACACCTCGGCCGTTGACCTCGGTTATAATCTACAGCTAGAGAACCCTATCATCGCATTAAAAAGCCTAGAGGCTTGAAAAAGGAATTCTTACCCAAACGGAAATGAGCTGTTGCCCTATTGCTATAAAGCTTGGCGTTAAGCCGTTCATCTTTGCAGTTAACTTGAAGTCCTTCCGTGTAGGAGTTTATCGCATTATTAGCTTCTCCTTGTCTGTATTCTTTGTTGCCTTCCTCGAGACCTACTTTCGCTATCCCTGAAAGCAGACCATTTTAAAGTTAATGATTTAGTAATGAATACAAACAACCTTGACGGAAAATACAGATTTATAGTTAAAAACGAACCTTCAGATCATACAAAAACTTAGAGCTCTGCACAAAAAAATGACTGATAAAAACTTTCAAAGAGATTATCTACGCATTTTTATAAAGTAAAATATACAGGCTATTAGTAGTCTTAGCTGTAGCTTGCCTATTACTAGTTAGTAAATCAGGTGACTTTTAGGTCGAGAAGCTTTTAAACTCAATTTACTTTAACTTAAGATAACCTTTTAAAACGTGCGCAAATTATTGAGAAAAGGTAATTTTGTACAAAGTTGGTAAACTATGGGGGAGTTATCTTTTTAGGCGTTAACGCCCCTTGCAAACTTTTCGTGGTAACCATTTCAACTTGGTTTACGTTCGACTTTGAGTGCTGTACTTCATAGGATGAAGCTTATTGACTCTCAGCAAGATATTCCCATAACAGTACAAATTCTTAATGTAAATACATTGGGGCGCCCTTCAGAGAAGTCATTTTCGCCTGGTTTTCTCACCTCTTGAGGGATCGTCGTATATCCCCAGTTCTGAATCGCTCGACGTAATTTGACTTTCCTCTACCGCTGAAATTACCAACCGGAAAATATATTAATCTTCTAAGTGATCACAACTATAAGCAATTTCAACATGCACATTATCCTCGTCACCTAGAATGCCAACCTATTTATTAGATTCCTAAAACACGTAAAATCTTTAATAATAAATGTTTCAAAGATAAGTGCATATGATTAAAGATATACTTAACTATTCGACCAAAAGGTCTAACAAACACTTCAAAATTATCACATAACGGTCTTTTTCTCTCACCTGTGACTGGAGGCTCATTGTTCAAGTCCAGTTCTTCCCCCGTTGTTGGAAGATTACTTCCCGCCATAACTGGAAATAAAATGGAGTCGATTCTAATGCGCTAGAAATCATGGTTACAAATCAAAGGAGACTGAAATGAAAGTAATCTAAAGAGAAGGTCGAGAAAAAATAAAGAGTCCCAAGGTTTCTCCTGTCACGCTATCGTGGTAGCGTGACAGCTCGAGTCACGTTCCGTTGTGTTGACTTAACTGGACGTAGAAGGAAAGCCACTCGACCTATATTTGAACCGATAAACTTAAGACTCCTTAAAGTTTATATATTTTACTTAAACATAACGCATGGATGACTTTTTTGGAATTTTTTATTATTATTGTTATCCTCATTAAAGTTCTTTTTGTTTTGTTTTGTTTTTTGTTTTTTTTTTTGCGAACCACTAGGCTCTTTTAACCTAAAAGTTCGTTTAAGTAAAAAGTTGGCATTAATCGTCAAGGGTCCTAGTACCTACTACTGAATCATTAAGGCAAAACACAGGCGAGGGTTTGCGTAACCGTCACGAAGTCTACCAAACCCCCTCCCTCTCCCGAGCCCATTACGTAAAGAATCGCGTTCATATACCATCACTCAAAAACACCTATCGACCAAGGGTCTCAGTTATTCCATAAAGCGCATGGGTAAAATTTTCCACAAAGCTATAGGAGCTAGTTAAATATGAAAAACTGAAAGTAGCTGGTCCATAAAAAATTGTGTCGGAGAAAGTCTGGTTTTTTCATTTTGAATTCAAATTGATTAAGAAGGCTCTGAATAAGAGGTTATTTTGGGGAACCATAGAAATGGCATTGGTTGTCCTCTTCGGCAATACTCTCGTTATCAAGAAAAATTATCTGCTACAAATGAAAAAAAATTGCGAACTAAGCGCAGCACGCGATGGAAGTAGAGTGAAAGCGAAATCAAACAAACAAACAAAAAACTCCTGATAGCGTAAATTAGGAAGATTATTTATAAACACATTTCTGAGGCAAATAATTATCTGTTGCTTTATGATTTTGAAGGGGATATTCGGGAAATTTCTATTGAACTGGACTATCGTCCTTCAGATGAAGACTCTGCACCATTATCAGCTTTCACTGAGCCCTTATTCTCACCTTCCAGCGTACAATATAAACACGCAAACATATGTGCCAATTTACATTTTTTCGCGACAAGCATATCTATTAAAACTGATTTCTGAACGAAAACCGGCTAGAAACCACCTTGTGGATACGTAACTATAATTGCCCAAGACTAAAAAAATTTACTTCCAGTCAAGGTCTGTGTTTTATCGTGCCAATTTTCGAAGAGGAAGTGGAATGATGTTCACAAGCCTTCAAGAATCCAAAATAATTAACCGTGACGTCGGCGAGGTTTCGTTTTCATACATGTTCATTAATTCGTATGATGAACCACCTTGTGGATACGTAGTTCGAATAGTTGAAGACAAAAATTTAGTTCCTATCCATGTCTACATTATTATCGTGCCAAGTTTTGCGAAGGAGGTCGAATAATATTTGCAGAACTTCAAAAAAAAAAAAAAATTAAATAATTTGTTGTGGCGTCGGCGAGGTTTCACTTTCATACGTGATCAAGAATTAGTAATCATTGTGCTTTAAGCCTTAAAATTTTGACTTTTATTAGCTTTTTATCACGTTACTCCAATTTCTCTGCTATTTCCATTTTGTGGCGGGATCCGAGAGGATACAAGATTTGGCGACTACGATCGGCTACCCAAGAGTGCAAAATTAATTGTTTTTTAATTCCCTTTTAGATCCCGCAAAAAGGGGGAAAAAGAGGATTGTAGCCGGTTAAATAACTCGTATAACGCCATAACCAGACAATTCCGTTTTTTCACATGACTGAACAGTCAGGTTTATCTAGAGGTTTTGGTTACAATAGAGTAAACGATACGTCTTTAGTCAAAACAAAGTAAAACTCGGGGAGCTTCGTGAGTTGCAAGTAAAAAACTTGGCCTTCTTTAGCTCATGCTTAGTCAGTGATGTACATATATTCAGGGGTATTACACACCCGCGCAAGGATACGAAATTTATCATCGATTGTTGATAATATCGCTCACTCTTTCGATGAAACATTTCAAACTCGAGAAGATCATAGATAAATTTTTATCTAGCGGTGAACATGTATTATCCTAATTTTTAGATCATTTTGAAACATTTTGAGAGCAACGAAAGGCGATCTGGTGCATTGAAACGCAGCTTGCCGAAAGGCTACTTCAAATTCGGACATGAAAATTTAGCAAAATCTCATCAGGACAAATGTTTTACTTTTTTAAAATTTTTTTTTTTATATTTTTATTATTATTTTTATTATTATTATTTTTAATTTTTTTTAAAAGTTGAATTCAACCTAAAACACGTTACGTTCGTAGATAAAAGTCTTCCCGGAAAGTGTTACCGTAATGTCGATAAATCCGATTACCATGACGACATTGACATTTTAACATGTGAAGACATAAATGGTGCGTTACTGGGTGCGGTGAAGATGTCATGTTTTCTATTCCATGGGCATCTACAATACTATCACAATTGCAATACATCGCGAATTTTGCGACGTCAAAACTGCAACCGCGATCTTAAGACATAGGGCAAAAACCTTTTTATGGAAAATCATTTTGTATTTGTATTTTTTTAACCTCACGCTTCGTTTCGTTTTCGAGAAATCGTGGCTGATTTTGATGTTGACGAGAGCTATAAATACAACAGGTCATCCAGCTCTGTCACGCTCTAATCACGTGCGGTTGCCGCCTAATAACCTTTTAGCTCCCAAGATCATACTAAAGTGTGATTGACAAATCGGACTCCCGCTTTGCGGTCGTCCGATTTTGTTAATTACTCTTAAAATTAGAGACCGAATTGGACTCCACTCGGTTCTATTACCATTAATGAGAGAAACCAATGAAATTTTTTAGCGTGATGTAAGTGAAATATTTCATATCTGACAGCAGCAAATCAAGAAAATTCGATTGAAATTAAACCTAATTGTTTTGAGGCGCAAGGAACATAAGATTACGCGCTTCCATTTCAAAAAACATGAGCTCTAAACAACTGTCATAAATTAGAATTTAAAAATTGATTCGTACCTGTTAAACTGTCGTCCTCTGAATCTCTCTATTCTCCAGACGATGCTCTTTGCTATTTCTACATGCCTGAAAATATCAAGAACAATGTTTGCTTCACAATAACATCGATGAAAACATGAAATATTTTATATTCACTAGTTTAAAACATTTACTAGTCTCGTTTAATTCCCAGAGTCGTGATCAAAACTTCCTTTTCTACTTCAAGTAAGTTATCGTTTGTTTATTTTTTTATTACTGTTTGTTTAAATGTTTCTGCGTGACGATTATTTCATTCTGCGATTCAAATTCAGTTATTCCCCTTTCAGTGGAAAACACCCGCAATTCCATTTTCTCTTCAGAGCAGGACACTCCCTGCCATAACTGGATCAAAAAGAATAATTTCAAACCGTGAGTTAAATATCGTAACAATACAATTCCTCTTCAAGTGATCACCTCGATATCTTACTCGTTTGCCGCGCTCACTCGTGAGATATCGAGGTGATTACGAGAAGAGTAACTCCATATTTACAAGCAAACATGTAAATTATTTTGTTTATTAGACAAACACTACAATCCTTTACTGACAAGAAAAGTGGACTATACTAAAAAAAAAGAATTTGATATTCCTTCATCCAACTTTCAAGGCGGTGTGGAGGGCGAGTGACACGTCAGCAGCTGATTGGCGATATAAATCAATGCAGTTTATAAGACAAATGGTTTTTTATCATCTTTCCATGAAAAAAGCGTTACGATTTTCTCAATATTTCATCTCCGCTTTTGTCGTGACAACTCCATAAAGTTGCTAAAAAATAATAACGGGGAACTTATTTCTTCTTCCCGCCAATTCTGCACTTGACATATTTGCAGTCAAAAGTGAAAAAAAAACACCCAGTCAAATATGATGATGCTATATATCTCATCCCAATACGATTACTTTTAGAGAAATGAAATGTGTTTCTTCCTTACAAGAAAAGGATGCTGATTTGCAAGATAGATTTGTTCACTCGCAGTTGAGTCCCAAAGAAGATTAAAGGACACCCATCTTCCTGATTCATTCACTGAGTGCTTCCCTCATGAAGAGAAAATTTTGTGCTATATCAAGATTCTTGCCTCTATGAGATAAGTTTTTCTGCTCTGAACGATTAAATTTTGGTTTTGTTGAAAATTGCATTGAAATCTACTTTATGAGAACAAGTGGCACATCATTGTTCATAACTGGAGTCAGATATAAATTTAAAGAGGTTCCATTAATAATACAGTAGTCTGGTATACTTATTTTTCATTATTTTACCCTTCTTTCGATGATAATATGTCACTTATTACATCACTATCTTTCCTCACCTTAAGAATGCCGCAATTCAATTCCAATAAAGCTCTTTTCCAGAAAGGATACTTGACTTCTCGTTGTATCTAACGAAGAACGACGTTGATTACATTAAACTCAGAATACCATATGAACTCTTCTTAAAGAAATATCCGCTGAAGTTATATAAATATTTTATATGTGGAAATTCCATGCATCTCTGTGTGGAGAAAATCTCAGTGTATCTTACAGGAATTTTGTGAATAAGGTGTTGTTTAATCAGTTTTCTGTAAGTTGGGACCGTGAACGAGAAATGTAAGTTTGTAGCTCTCTCTCTTTGAGCCCAGCATTTTCTGCCGCGTTCGGATTCATTAACTGAGGCTATTTACTAAGATGCACAAAAGACAAGCGGCACAAATGATGTTGGAATCAGTAATATCAATAGAATAGCAGTTGATATTATCTTGGTAATGTTGTAGTTTCATGGATTCCTCATGGATATGTAAATAAGCTACCTAAAGGTCTTTTCATGATGACAATCTGTATGTCAGTATTGAGAAATAATTTTGTAGTTTAAATAAAAAGCGGAGAGTATGATTTTTTTTCCTCGGTCGTCGGATAAAGAACGATTCTAATTATTTTCACGAGTGTGTAATAGAGAAATTTCTGAGGATTCAATCTCTAGACCAGCAGATTAAGATTTATGAATATTTTTCATTCGACAATAGAGCTCAAAACGTTCTTTCTTTATCTATTTTCAGACATGACACAACTACATGTCAGATCTTAGCAATATGCAGGACGATTGTCATGTATATAGAATGCGTGTTTTGGCGCATTAACAAGAGCTGCAAGGCGCTAAGTTCAAACTTTCAGATCGTGAAATCCGAAGGCCAAAGATTTGAAGCCTCGAGCGAAGTCGATATTATTCTTTCTCCCGCGCTCGACACGAGTAAATACGATCGATATTTCTTTCACTCTTTAGTCTTGTATTTCAAATTATTTTTTTACGTAATTTAGTCAATACTCGCCTATCTCATTCCCTGCAATGGATCCTCATTGACTAATTCTGTCCTCACCTTAACTCCTGCGAAGATGTGATTTGCCCCACAAGTGTGTAACAAAACGATGCACTTGGTAACACCAGCAGTATTGAAGAAGCTGAATATGAGCTCATCGAACTCGAAACTGAAAATCTTGTATCATTTGTTTATTTCGTGATACAAGATTCTATTTTGTGGCTATGCTGTTTCATTATCATAACGCCAAGTTGGGACTTGGCGTCACACAACATTTTTTAGTTTTCATTTACATTAATCAAGAGTGTAACACGATAACATAAACTTCCTTTTTTTTTTTTTTTGCTGGTGTGGTGTGTCGTTAAACTGCCGTCTTTTTAGGTTGTAGGGCGCTGAACTGCCTTGCGGGAGGTCGAGGGTTCAAGCTGACTGAATTTGGAAGGGGATTTAAGAGCTACGAATTTCAGAGTACTCCAGAAAAAAAAATAACGAACAGGAACGATTGGAGACAAAGGAGAGTACGAAATATTCAGTACTAGAGATAACGACTTAAACTTTATTCAGTTTAAGAACTTCACACAACTCACAGGACTCCTCTGTAATTTAATCATTCATACAACGTGCCACAGCTAGGAGTTCTTGGGCTAAACTAAGAGTCCTCTTACAGCCAGTTAAAAAGAACATCGTAAAAATATCGATCAATCACCTTAGAACTTCGACCAGGAGTACAAGTGGGAAGGGGGTTTAACCCTTAAACTTTTAAGATCTCATTAGTAATTCTCCCTACTGTCTGGCATAAAATACTCATGAATTTGGTGTTGGATCAACTTGTAGTCCCTTAATTGAGTTTTCTTCTTTATTCTCCTCACTTTTCTGCTTAATTATATGTTAATATTGTAAGGAGAAATTCTGTTTTGGTCACTCACAGGAGTTAAAGGGTTAATCGGACAAGGGACGAGAGGGTTCACCTTTTTCTGGCGAGGGACAAAAAAAGAATTAAGAATTGTAATACGGCAATAATAGCCAGGTGCATTTTCACGCAGTTATAAACTGCTACCTATATAAGAAACTATACACAGATCTGATCCTCTCATACAAGACTACAACAGAGTTGAAAGTTTTGAATAGAAGATTGTGACGAGCGAGACCAATTACCCTTCGAATTGTTACTTCAGCTGGAAGTTCTATTTTTATTATTGGGTGAATCGATTTGGAAAAAGAAATCACCTAGATCAAATCGGTGTGACGGATCCATAGTTTGCATCTTCAATAGAGACGCTACATTTTTTGGCTTCTCTGGCACACCGCCGGCGATACTTGACGAGAGAGGGATTTCGAAGAAGCGTGAAAGCAAGGAACCAGCGGTTGATCGCCTGGTGAGACATGTGTGGTGGCCGGAATACACGGGCCTCAGGATGACCTTTAACAAAACAAGAAAAATCAATAAACAAACAGACAAAAATTAAATAAAAAGTAAACAAGACAAAGCCAAAGCGACAATGAGATTACGGTTGGTATGGAATACTCAGTCAAGCCAACTAGTCTAAGTCGCAATCTAATGTAGGTCGCAGCTGTTGTTTGATATCGTAACACAACGCCCTCTCTCCCCTCCAATGGATCGCGCTGCGGAACGTGACAAAAAACGGCCACGAAGGAGACTTGGTAGATGGTCCTTCAAACTTCTTAAACAATTTCACCTTTTAAGAATGTGTTGAATATGCTATGAAGGTGTCTTACATCAAATGTTGAGTGGCAACAGACGTGCACGTGACTGCAGCAAGACATACAAATGACAAAACCCGACGTCACTTACTCACGTGTACTAGAATGAATCCGAAAAAAAGACGAATGAAACAAACTTCCTCCTCAAATCTTAAAGGAAGTAGCCCAAGCTAGACATTATGTTCTGTATTTTTAGAAAAGGCAAACAAACAACAAACTTACAAACAAATACTGGAGCAAAAACAAAGAAATGACAGTTTGTCATTACATGTTACACTGGTGGAACAACTAATCGCCAATGTTTTTTCTTCCCAAAAAGGGACAAGATCAAAGCGACGAAACTCACCAGCAGAACTCTGATCCTCTGAATGCGAATTTTGTACACATAGGCCTGGTAACTCTAGAGTGAACAAAGATGATCCATCGATGGACGAAAAACTCCCGAAAGTATACAATTTCTATATATCCGCCATAACGAAAATTACTTGCTCGAACTGATAAGGGTGGTGATTAAATGACCGTAAATATAAATGAAAATCATGTACATGAACTGCGGATAAATAAATTATGAAAGCGATCTTCGCAGTATTGAACACTACTTATAGACGGGTTTATTTGGAACCAATATAATTACCAGCCCCCAGTTGACTTGTTAGTTCAGTTGGTAGAGCGCAGTACAGGCATTGCAGAGGTCATGGGTTCAAATCCTGTACAGGCCTGAATTTTTTTGTTCATTACTTCGATAGCCTGAAGTGCAGGCGTCTTGTTAGTGCGAGCTGATGCCAAAAGCTCGCGATCGTTTGTTCGACCGGCCATTTTTGATTTGCAGTTAGAGTGGACAGTGGGGGTAGGGGGCGGGGGAGGGGAGAAAAGACGCCTGCCCGAAGAGGCTGTTAAAATGCCCTACGCCCCCTGATTAGTTGCGTTTCACTGCATTTCCGGTTCAGTTGTTCAGTTGGTAGAGCGCTGTACAGGCTTTGCAGAGGTCGTTGGTTCAAATCCTGTCAGGCCTGAATTTCTTTGTTCATTACTTCGAAGATCGCTTCCATATTCATTTCCTTATATTTACAGGCATTAAAGCTTTTTTATGTTTTTATTGGAAATAAATTTGAAAAGTTAAGATATTGAATAATTATTTTACTTCAGTTTCTTCAGTGCTCAACAAACAGCTCGATTATCATTTTATAATGGTAATAATAATCAACATCATCGTCATCATTATCGTTATCACTATAATTATCATCATCATCGTTATCACTATAATTATCATCATCATAATCTCTATTATTATCACAACTGTTATCGTTAATCTAATCCTTCCACAACGTTATTGTTATCAATACCGTTATCATCATAATCATTTTGTTTTAGATGGAGTCGAAGACTAAATGTTTAAAAAACCCTGAGTCCAAACCCTTTACTCCTCTAATACTGTTAGTATCTTCCTTACCCTCCCTCCCCACTGTGCCATATTGACGATCCTTGTTGCTGTTGATGAGCAGCTGGCAAAACATCAGCATAACAGGGTGGTTGTGAGCCACCAGTATGTGGATGAATCCCAGATATGCCACGAAGGCTGGAAAATAGCGTTAAAAAAAGATGATACCATGAAGACCCTGAGCAGATGAAATAGCAAGCAAACTAAAACATACCCACGAACACGCAAAAGAACAGAAAAAAAAAAAATGCCTCATTTTGTTTTGTTTTTGTTTGTTCGTTCGTTTTTTTCTTGTCTTTTTATTATATTAGACGAGTTCGTCGTTTGATGATAATTATTTCTCCTACAGAATTTACTTTTAAGCCTCGACTTGCTGAATTCGAACCAATCTTCCTGGCTCACCTCCAAGCAGATTGATCGTGACTCATCACGACCGATTTCTAACGTTTACAACTAATCCTCACCCCTCCCCCCTTGCTTCCATACCTTTGTCCCAAGTCTGGAATCCCTGCATAAGTGAGGTTCGGTCGATTCGAGAGATGAAGATCACTCCTAAAATCATGCCTTTTAGAATTCGCATGATGCAGGAGAACAGTCCAAGAAGTATATTGTAGAAGAAGAAGAAGTACGACATAATAGAATAAAACCGTCTGTGGAAAAACCATCTCAGTAAGAAAATGGAGAAGAAGAAAAAAGGAAAAAAATGGCACATGAAATACTTACTTATTTCGTATCAACTTGCCTGTTATCAACAGTGATTGTGATATTCGGAAAGTCTCTGTCTCGAAATACGTAGTAGGTGAGGAATAACTGGTACAGCCACAAGCAAATCGCCAAGCAAATTGGTGGCCTGAAATGGCATTCATAAAAAAATCCATTATCCCTTGGAAGTGCTAGGGGTGGAAAGCGTACACTGGGGGGAGGAGGGGAAGGACACCACCTCTGATCAGTCGTGTTTGAGGTACGCACTGTAAAAAATTGACCGAGATTGACCCCCCCTCCCGCGCGCTTCGCACCAGGGCCATAAATCTAAGCAGAGTACTCGGTCCGTTTATTACAGTAAGGACCTCGAACACGATCAATATGAGGTATAAAAATATCCTATAAGACGTTTTGGTGTGTATTCTCGCTGAGTAAGTGTACGAGTTATGCCTTAATGTAAACAGAGAGTAAAATACTAAGCAATACCAGACCAAAATGTCGGATAAGTTATTTATTATCTAACTGTTTGTTTTTTTCTGTCAAGTATTTCTGCTCATTTCGCGTACGACGGGGAAAGCAAAGAAGCACAGTCGCGGGCAGTCGACCAGTTAAACAGGTTTCTACTACAATACAAAAAAACCAACAGTACAGTATGACAGGATAATTGTCCTCTGTCCGCCCGTTTTTTGTACTCTACTTTGTGCAGTTGGGCAAGGAGTATCCTTCTCCTTTCCCATTGTTGACGGAATGTTTATTTCAAACTGATTAAGGTAATAATAAGGTAAACAAATTGGTAAAGTTCATGTTTAACAGTGAATCTAGCAGCATGAAACTTACGCAAAGGCCTGTCCAATATTTTTGTACACCTCTAACATTTCCGGTGAAACTAAAAAATCGATGTACTTGAAAATGGCAGTGAGGCTGACAACTATGATGGCCAGGAAAAAACTCAATACAGTGTATCCTAAAAATAATAATAAATGTCATTAGTTGAAAAGCTTAAAAAATAGCCCAACATACCCCAGGTAAAAATATTTGTTTTTGACATCTTGTAGAAAAAATATTTTACATTGTAAATTTTCAGAAACGCCTGTTACATACCTGTTAGAACAAATGCAATCTGATATCCAGAAAATAACAAACTTTGTCCCTGAAACAACAGTGACCAACATAAATTTTTCAGTAAAAAATCAACCACTTTTGTTGACATGGAAAGTTCTTGGTTTTAATCGAACTAGTACACGTGAGTAAGTGACGTCGGGTTTTGTCATTTTTATGTCTTGCTGCAGTCACATGCACGTCTGTTGTCACTCAACATTTGATGTAAACTCGTTTCTAAGGGTCCGTTGTTGGAGGAAAGGGTCTCATAATTCCAATAAAACAGGTTAAGCATGATCAATAACCAAAATTGCCCGATGTCTTACTGACTTGATAAGTTCGAACGCGAACGAGATCTGGCTGCAAAGAAGTCAAAGTCGTGAGATGTCAGGGTTTTGAGCATTAGTAACTGTCGCACGTGCAATCATAACACACTTGCTAGTTCGTAAATTACACTTGTCTTCACCCGAAAGACTGTATTTTATATTTGTATAATATCTAACCCTCAAAGTCTTATCCAATCCAGGCGCACGTGGCCCTTAGCAACATACAAGACTGTCAGTCAAAACCTGGCGACGTATAAACTTATGCATCACAAACTATGTAACGCGAACTATAGCACAAAGTAACGCAACACTGGAAGCAGAAGGCATAGTAACCCACCACTAAATTCGCAGGAGAGACAGTCACGTCTTGGAAAAAAGTTCTTTGGCCTCGATACATCTGTAACATATTGTCTCTTGAATCAAAAATAACATATTTGTAAGCTATCATTCAAATGGAGTACTGAGCAGGTAAGATTGGTGAAATAATAAGATCTGAAAGGTTTAAAAGAGTGGGATATTTAGCAAGATGCTTGAGCTTAGCGAATTATCAGTCCTTTCTCCTCCTTCAAAGTAAATTATGACATAGCTCGTAAATTTGCCTCATCAAATTCAATTGCGCGAGCGTGCTTCATATTCCTATTGTGCACGCTCATGACGTCAGCAAACAAATCCATCGCGAAAAAAAATTTTCCATCGGGTTGAAAATGTTATAAAACAATTGGTCCATACATCAGCTGTGCGTTCATCGAGATATGAAGTACTTGGGAAGTTTGGAGAGCACTCAAGAAGCTCTTACACATCTTTCGTGCTCTCCAAACTTCCCGCGTGCTTCATATCTCGAGGAACGCATGCTGACGTATGAACCAATTGTTAATTTACATGTTGAAGACTTAACCCTTTCATCATCATCATCATCATCATCAGTATGCATATTTTCCATACTGTTCTTCTTATCTCCCAAGAAGACAAAAACACAATGATCGTGAGGACATCGAATCTTATTTAACCTACCTGTGGCATTTCATAAAATGCAGCATCAACAAAATAGAAACGGTAGCTGCTGTAATAACTCCTCCCTCCAAAGCATCTGTTTCAAGTCACAGTAAAGTACAGCATTAGTCTCGTTTGACTTTGAAGGTACAAATATCATATAAGTGAACTGCGGTTTAAGAAATGAATATTTACGTGATCTTTGCAGTGATCGATGAAAACTGGGAGCTGGTCTCGCACTATGCTGGGTTGTAATAAACCCAGTTGGCTTGTTAGTTCAGTTGTTAGAGCACTACGCCAGTAACGCAAAGGTCATGGGTTCAAATCCTAAACAGACCTGAATTTTTTTCAGGCCTTATTCCCACTACTGCGTAAGCGGTGTTCATTACTAAGAAGATCGCTTTCATATTCATCACGCAGACCTTCCACGGCCAATTGCAGTTACAGTCACACGGTTAGATCTGGGTTCGAGACTTGTAAAGCATATCAAGATCGACAGAATTGCACACAATTGCGGGTCTTGAATATTACAACATAGCTCAGGTGGCGAGTGACACCATTTTTCGAGAAAGCGAGATTTTTGTGTATTCATCCATGTCCTTGCTGGCAACATTTTAAGCTTGTTTTTTTTTTTCTTTTGACTCACGTCAGTAACTAAAGTAATTTTAATTTTAATAAAAGATTGGCTATCTGAAGAAAATACCAGACTGGCAAGTGGATGGAATAGCGGAGTGGGGACTGACGGAATAAAACTAGGGGAGTTACAAAACACATTACTTACAAGGTTACAGTTCCTATACAAAACAGTTAGTTTATTTTCCCCAATAAATTCCAAAAAATGCCTTAAACTTACGAAATAAGAGAGGAACAAATCCCCGACAAATGGGGCCGTGAACACAAGACGAGACAAATTCTTTTTCGTAGTAATCAAACAACGAGAGATAATGCAATATAACCTGAAAAAAAATATAAGAAGAAATAGTATTTTTTTTAATTATTTGGCGTTTATCATAAAAACTACGGTGTTATACAAGGACTTCCAGCCCTGAGAAATAAATACATGGGCGTGCGTAGATATGGAATTTCTCTTCGAGTGTTTAACTGCTGCGCTCACTCGTGAGATGTCGAGTTGAACACGAGAAGAGAATTCCATATCTACAAACAACCTGTATTATTTTGTTTATCATATAAACACAATAGCCCTTCAGTGGGAAGAAAAGCCGACTTCATTAATGAATGAAAATAAATGAATCGACAATCCTCGAATAAAAATCATAGAGTGCGTTGGCGCTGACTCTTAAGATGGAAAAATGCGTTGAATCATGATTACAAAAACAACAATGGCCGTAATTTTTGATTTACAAAATTCTCATTTATTGACTTTGTCCTTACCGACAGAAGAAGTCTTTCAGGTAAATGGCCAAAATCGGCCAGTAGCAAATCATCTGGTAGTCGATTTTTATTCTCAGCCGAGAGAAATGCTACCACCAAAGCCACTGAATACGCAACTTTCGGCTTTTCTTTTAGTATATTGGTTTTCTTCCTCTTCTAGGAAAGTTTGAACCTCATTGTCTGTTAGCGATACGGATTGTTTAGTGTTTAAGCCGCCATAATTCGAGATAGCTCCGACAAACAACTTGTATTGAGAATCGTGAAGGCCGTTCATTCATCAACCCGGCCGTGTGATGCCAAAGGCGAGTAACGTGTAAGCAGCTGATTGACTATCAACACACACATAAAAACGATATTTTTCACGTGTGTTGTAACGGCTTTTCCGGCCGGAAATCCTTGTGTAACAACCACCGCAGTTTATGTGATAAAAGCTGTTACA